GTGTGTGTGTGTGTGTGTGTGTGTGTGTGTCTTTCACCCTTCAGATTGACATCTCCAGTAGTGATGTGCATCACATTTGTACCATCCACCGTCCTTGTGCATGGTCGTTGTTCGGAGTGCAACTGTGTTCAGTGTGTTGTGCTGAAAAAACATCACACGATCTTCTACAAGAAGCATCACACACATTCCTGTTCTCTATAACTTCTCTTGTTATCCTCTTCTCATTCTAAGTGTTATCTTTCTATTGCCCATTCTGTGCCCTCCCTTGTCTTTTCCTGTGCTTCTTGTGTCTAAGTGAGTACCTTCAACATGTGCCAAACAGTCAGTGCCTGCTTGTACGGAGTGCCTGCAACACTGTTAGTGGGGCTGTTCTGTTCGGGATGCTGTGTGTCTGTGTCACTGTGTGCCATGCCATTGGGTAATCTTCTGTTTTCGAGTGGTTTTCTTCTGTTTTCGGTGGGCATTTCTGAGTTTCTAGGAGTCTTGTCTGTCTGAGTCGGTCTACTCTGCCTCGCTGAGTTGTCTTCTGAGCTTCTCGTATATTCTGTAATGCATCGTGCCTGCGCATCCGAGTCTATTCCACACTTGCGTGACTAGCAGACAATGTCATCGTGATCGCTGCAGCTCCACGGAGCAGCTTCTCTCACCACTTCTTCCAGCATGCGTGATGACGGACATTTGCCATCGTGATTCCCTGGCTTCGATGATGGCGCCGTGAACATACACCTGGTAGACTACTACGTGCGGTATGAGTAGGTGATAATCTGCTTGGGTCCCGTTCTGTGTGCGTGGGCTGCCCTGTCCCGGCTGTCCGTGCTCCCTTGCTGCCAGGCTACTACCCTTCCACTTGGTTTGTCTTGCTGCCTTCCGGCCCCACTCCTTCGCCGTCGTCTTGCTGTGTTGCTACCCTTCCACTTGGTTTATGTTGTTACCTTTCCGCGTCGTTTATGACTTTAAGTCTTTATTATGTTGATCTGCCCCAACTTCGTCTGTTGCGGCGTTGCTACCCTTCCACTTGGTTAAACTTTATGTTCCTTTCCCTCCACTTAGGTTATGTTGCTGCCCCACTTGGTTTATATTGCTGCATTGCTACGATTCCACTTGGTTTATATTGCTGCAGAGCGCAGCCCCACTTCGTTTATGTTGCTGCCCTTCCACTTTGCTTGTGTTGCTGCCTTTGCCGGTGCTGCCCCACTCCTTTGCTGTCCTCTTGCTTGCCCTGTGTGCTCCCTTCAAGTTGCTCCCTGGCTGCCAATCCACTTTGCTGCATCCTGTGCCTTGTCGCCTTGTTGTCTTTGCTGTCCTGTTGCCTTGTTGCCTCGTCGTCTGCTACGAGAATTTTGCAGACTGTCAAGGGTCCACCCTCCTGACGAGTCTTCACGAAACAGTCTGTCATGATGCTTGATCTTCGTTTTTTCCTATCTTTCTTTTCTTCTATCTTTTTCCTGGGGGGTGGTTTTCTGATAATGCTTGTTCAGGGCTTGCTTTTATCAATGCTGCATCAATGATATGTTTTCCGTGCTTGTCTGACACAATTCATCTGGTTACAGCATGCTGCACCACAACCACAGTGTCTTGCAATTCTCTCTCTCTCTCTCTCTCTCTCTCTCTCTCTCTCTCTCTCTCTCTCTCTCTCTCTCTCTCTCTCTCT